TGGGAGGGGCTGAGGGATATTCACGACGATGGCGGCGAACTACGGCAAGGACTCTGCGGCGAGCCGGGACCTTCACAGAGTGTCGGACTCTCCCTCCCCGGGACGCGTCGCGTGGCCACAACAACAAAACGACGCGCACTGCTGCTTCACATACACCATAAACACTGTGCTGGTCGGGTCTGCCCTCATCGGCGCCCCCGAGGGCTCGCCCGAATAAAAGGACAGCCACGGCACTACAGCGTAGGCCACTAGGCCACTAGGTACGAAGCGCATTCAACCCCCGCCCGTCTCTCAGGCTCTTGGCAGGAGTAATGCCAAAAAAATGCTCTCTGCAGAAAAATTTCTGATTTTTCTAGACAGTCCTGCGGTCCCTAATGAGCTAATGAGTCGACTCGTCCGACTGCCAGCACGGTGCGGGCCTAGCCCAGGGTGGCCCAACGAGGCCCGGTCGGGCCCAGCCCTATCTGATGGCACGCAACCCATGCGCGCGAGTCCGGCCTTCGTCCGTCCACTGCACTGCAGTGCAGAGCCCCCAGTGGGCCAGCCAAATTTGTCGAAGGCTTATCGTTGAGACGGAACGGGTTGCCTTCCGAGGCGCGTGCGGGTTGAGAGTGCATGGCAGCACGGTGGAGTGCGGGGCGCTCAGTGGTTGGCTAACACGCTGTGTGTGTCGGCGCGGTCAGGCCCGGACTCCTGACTTGGATCGAGTCCGATTCCGAACAGACAGAGCGACGAAGGCAGACTGCTCGGCCCGACGCCGATTGGCGGGACGTGACTCACACGCGTGCGCGAAACGTGATGACACGCGGACCACGTTCGCACTCGCCGCCACTCGCCACTCGGACGGCGGCGTGCCGGCCGTGCCATGCCGTGCCGTGGCCGGGCCGTTGACGACCCGGCTGGAGGGAGGGGGGAGGGGCAGAGCGGGCAGAGGTGCCAACGGGGGAGCGGTAAGTTTTAGCATCTTTCTGATCGACTGTTGCCGTGTGGGCTCTCCCGTGGGAAATCCCGTCGAACTCTTAGTCAAGCGGTTGGCAACCCCAGAAACACTTCGCCCTGCCACGCTGCACTGTAAACAGCGGTTACTCCTGTAACTACTGGTGTCTGTAACTACGAACGTCTGATTCCGGTTTCCTTCCAATTAGACTGTCTGGTGTTCGGCGCCAGACTCCCCGTTGGTGTAACTTGGACTTATTTATCGGTGCAGTGTTGGTACGGCAAGCCTGGGCTAATAATGAGGGGGTACCCACCCCACCCCCGCTAGACACTGCAAGGGCGCCGGGGGCTCAGAGGGCCAAAAGAGCTCACGGGGGCTCAAAGGGGCTTAGCTGCCGGTCTCGTCCGTTGATTTTCCGCTCCCAAAGCCACTCGCTAGCGAGTCGCAGCGCCGTCTGCCGGCGGAGGCGGCAACTAAAACTGCCAGCCGGCCAAGGACGCCGGTGGCGGGCGGCGGAGCCATGGCGGAGCAATTCCAAGCAAGCGAATGTTCCTTTTCTTTTTTGTTCTTTTATTTTTTTATCGAGTAAGTGGCCCAATGACCCACAGGCCGCAGCACAGTGACCCACGACGGGCACCACGAGGGGCGCCGCACATGACCGCCATGATTGGGCACACACTTCCATGAGCCTGGCGGGCCAGCGAGCCCTCGACGCAGGAACATCGAGCAGGGAGCAGGGATTGGAGGGGAGCGGGCGTGCGTGGGTATGCGGCGGCCGCCCGGCTTCGCCCGGCCGCTGTCTAGGACGCCTGTATCATTGGTATGCTTTGCTCGTATCGCGGTGTGGGCCCGCGGCTCGCGGCTCGCGAATTCTCCCCACCCCCAAGTTGCCTCTATCACTGGCCGGGGCCCGGCGGGGGCCGCCTTTCACCCATGCACGACCGCGCGGAATAAAGCGAAGCAGCCAAAGGCAGTCGCACTACAGGCAATGAACGAACGAACGAATGAATGAATGGATGAATGGGTGGGTGAATGAATGAATGAATGAATGAATGAATGAATGAATGAATGAATGAATGAATGAATGAATGAATGAATGAATGAATGAATGAATGAATGAATGAATGAATGAATGAATGAATGAATGAATGAATGAATGAATGAATGAATGAATGAATGAATGAATGAATGAATGGCGATTGCATAGTGAGGAATGAGTGCGAATGAATGGTGAATGAAAGCATGATGAACTATGAATGAATGACAAAGAGCGGCGTGTGCGGAGGAAGATGGGGCAGGAGGACGTATTAACTTACTGGGAGGAAAGGGGAGGGGGGGGGGGGGAGGTCGATGGCAGCGTAAACAGGGGAAGTTTAGGGGACCTTCGGCTTCGGCTCTGAGGGAAAACAAAATGAAATTAGCACACACAGAAATGGCGGGAAATGAGTTTCCCTGCGGGAAATATTTTCCGAGACTGGCCATGGAAATTAATGGCCACACACTGACGTGTTTGGCATGCGGGTCTGGGTCAACCTTTTTTTTGTGTTTTGTTTTGTGTGCTTATTGTTTCGCTCTCTTTGACGATGGCTCGAGTCGGCGAAACTTCCTACACCGATAGGGCGCGCGGTTTGAGTTGCGCACGAGCTTCAAGAGGGACATGGCGACATGGCTTTCTGAGACGCGGCGTGGACACATGGCCGGCATGAGCATCATGAGGGTGAGCGGCTGGTGGGCCTGGTGGGGGAGAAACAGACAGCTGGCAGTTCGTACACCGCGCGGTTTAGTCTGTCTGTAGCCGCTCGACCAAGTCTAACCTAACCTAACCTCACCTAACCTAACCATCTCATGACAAACTCGTTCGGGACGGAGCCCAGGCCCGTTGGCGCGTCCTCGAGAGAGGCTCCCTGAGCTGCACCTGCGATGGGCCGCCTCCTTCAAGTGGCTGTGGAGCCACACCGGCGAAAAGCGTATCTCCCATGCGTTCGCCACGACTTACGCGGTTCCGGCGCCGCCGAACGTCGCGGGGAGAGCGGCGTCTATTTATAGAGGCGGGGAGTGCGTGCGATGTGCAAGGCGGCAAGGCATGCGGGCTGCCTAGCCTTGCCGGGGCATCGCTTTCGGCCTTTCGGCGAGGGAGCGAGGCGCAGCGACGCGAGGGACGAAATACGAGAATCTAGGCTAACTTCCCGGCCACATGCGCAGCGCCGCGCAGCGCGCAGCCAGAGCAGCCAAGCGCCGTCCAGTGCGTCGAAGTATGGAAGTCGAATCGAGTTGAATCGAATCTGCTCAAAGTTTTTAGAATCAAGTCGAATTTTTCAGTAGATTCGCTTTTGAATAGGCCAGTTTTGACAACAAGTGAAATCGAATCGGGACCGATTCGATTGGTATCGAACACAGCCCTACCTGTGCTGCCTCGCCGGGCCGTGCTGAGCCATGGCTGAGCAGACGCCTTCGGGTTAACGCGATTAGCACTGCTGCCCTCCAGGCGGGCCTCCAGGCCTGGAGCCCTCCGCCTTCTCAAGGACTGTCTATCCACGTGGCGATAAGGGAATGAGGAGAGGGCGAACAAGTTGCTAATTTACGATTCGGCTGTTTCTCTGGCCGGAATCCTCTTCGAGCCTCCCTGGCCAACTTCTCTGCAGCAGTAGGTTCGGAAGCGAGCTAACTAGTGTAGTGCCTTCGTGAAGCCCGCCGAGCCCCGCCGAGCCCCTCTGCTCTGCAGGCCGGCGGCCCTCCGTGGGAGGCTCAGGCATCACTGGGCTGTAGTCTGATTCCGAGAGTCGTTTTCGTCGCTCTGTCCCTCTCGCGCCTGTACGGGACGCCCCATGAGTGCGAGAGAGACAGAGCGACGATAACGACTCTCAGTCTGCTGGGCTCGGCGTGGCCAAGGAGGCTGGCTGGCTTTCCTCCAACTCACCCTAACGGCTCCGCCGCTCCGCCTTTCGCTCCGCGACTTGCGACAGTTTGCAGAAGCCATAGGAATCGATGGTTCTGTCCCCGTCACACTCACGGGGCTCTCCGTAAGGGTTCGAGAGAGACGGAGCGACAAACCGCTCTCGGTCGGCCGCACTGCCGCACTCTGCGCGGGTGTCGGGCCCGTCGGGGTGTAGGGGCACTGTAGGGGCACTCGGGGCACTGTCGGGGCCTGCCAGTGCCACGCATGCCTGCCATTCCCTCGCCTAATTTTCTGCTGCAGACAGAACAGCACGCGCGAGGCAGTCGGAGCGCGGAGCGCGAAGCAGCAGCTTGAATGCGAACAGAGCCTCGTCGCTGTGTCCCTCTCGCACCCCTTCGGGGTTCAGGACGCCCCGTGAGTGCGAGCGAGGCACGGCGACCAGGGCACGCCGTTTCGGCTGGGGGAGGAGGACAGAGCGCGGAGGCCAAGCGCCGCGCTCCGAGCACGCGCGCGGGGTGAGAGCGAGAGGCACGACGGGGACACAAAACAAAGCCCGTAATAAAAAGTTGCACACTGACGAGCTCCGTCAAGTAAAGCGGAAGGGAGAGGGAGGGGGCTGTTATGACCGCGCCACTGTGAAGTAGGGCTGTTCCGTTATCAGCGGGGCGGCGCGGTGCACCTGTTGATAGAGCGTGACGCTGGTGGCGGGGCGGGGGGGGCGGGGTGGGGTGGGTGGGGTGAGGGGCGTTCTCGCCTCGTTCCTCGTCCCCCCATTTGCCTCCCGAGGCGGCCGAGGCGGCTCAAACGGCCGCCCTCCGATGACGCTGTTTCGACGCGCCGCGGCCAGGGCGGGCCAGGGTCGGTCGCACCTGGGCCGCACCCTTTGCGGCACCCACCACAGCCTGCCATTTTGGATCGGTTGCGCGAGGTGGCGATAGAGAGAGAGAGAGCGCGATAAACGGGGACCTGTTGGCCCCCGAGAGGGAGGCTCTCTGGGCGGGAGGTTTCGCACTGCACCGCACGCGCACGCGCACGCCATCGGCCGAGCGAGTCAGGAGAACGGTTTGTCGCTCTGTCTCTCTCGCACCCTTACGGAGAGCGCCATGGGTGCGATAGAGACAGAGCGACTCGACGACTCGGCGTGCCGATAGTAAAACAAACACTCACCGACTGCCTTCCTGGTGCTGACGTTCCGCGAGTAGCCCAGCGGGTGCAGGATGGCCCAGTAGCGGTCCACGGACACGGCCACGAGGCAGAAGATGGAGATGGTGCAGAGCACGACGAGCAGCGACACGGTGAAGAGGCAGGCGTGCAGGTCGTGGGGCAGGCCGACCGAGGCGAGCAGCGCGAAGGGGATGCCGAGCAGGCCGACGAGGAGGTCGGCCACGGCCAGCGACACGATGTAGTAGTTGGTGCGGCGGCGCAGGCGGCGCTCGCGCTGGAAGGCCAGGATGACGAGGGCGTTGCCGGCCACGGCCACGACGGCCACCAGGGCCTCGCACGCCGCGTAGGGCACGTTGAGCTGCTTTAGGCTGGCCAGGCTGCCGCCCGCCGCCACCACCGTCACGGCGTCGGGGAGCGCCGTGCCCGCCGAGCCCGCGGACGGACTCAACGTCGAGTCGTTGAGCAGGCCGGCGAAGCCCCCGCCGGCGTCGTCCACCGCCGTGGCCGTCATCGTGGCCGTCATGGTCGCGTTGGCGGCGTCGAACCCGAGGTACATGTCGGAGTCGTCGACGGCCATGGTGGCACGGCCTCTATGCTCCCATGTCCATGGCACTCCCTGGCACTCACGCGCGCGGCCTCCGCCTCGAGGCCCCCGTCAGTCTCCGTGGCCGGCCTAGGCCGCGGCGCCCCGGCCGGCGTAGGCTGCTACTGCCGGCAGTCCGTGTGTGCACTGCAGTCCGCGGTGTGGGTGCCGGCCATGCCCTCGGCCATGCCCTCGGCCATGCCGCATGTGGAGCCGATGAGCGCGAAGACGGGGCCGCCGCGCCCCGCCACGACCGCCATGGCCGCGGCCTGGGCTTGCCTGCCTGGGCCCAGCGCAGCGAAAACGAAAACGAAACCGCACCGCGGCGCTGTCTGGTCTGCCCACTGCCTGATGCCTGATGGCCGAGTCACGCCCGTGCCGTGAGCGTGCGCAGAGCGTGCCGGTGGCCGTGCCGCCGCAAACGCCAAACACGCACGCACAGACACACGCGACGCGGGCCGCGCGCCGCGGGCTTGATTTGCATACGGCTACGCTCGCTACGCCCCGGCCGCCTCGCAGTGCCGTGCCGAGCGTACTGCGTGGCCCTCCCTTCACTGCCGGCCCAACTTATGACTGCGCAGCGCTGCCCTGCGCTGCCCGACGTCCCGATGATGCGGCCTCGGCGTCGCCTCCAAGCCCCGCGTCCCCGAGGTGCGCCGTGTCGGCCCGCCCGGTCTGTCCGGGCCGAGGGCGCAGAGGGTGGCGAGGGCGCCGCCGCAGGGTTCGCAGGCCGGCGTCGTCCTCCGCCGCCATGCCGCACGTCGGCCTCGCCGTGGCCAAGGACCCCGTCGACCCCGTCACTGGGGCACTTTACTTCCGGCGAGCAGCAGGCCGAGCAGCAGGCCGAGCAGAAGGGCGAAAGAGGGAAAGGGTTCGCGGAGGGCAAAGGCCGTCAACAGTTGGCCTTATCTCTGCAGATGCAGATGCCTGGGACCGACAAGCGGCGACGCGGGCCGGCGCTAGCGCTGTCGGCGGCCGGGGGGCAGTCTGCCGGTGTGGTGGTCTGGTGCTGCGGGGTGGCCCGCCACACGCCGCGGCTTCACGACTCTCGGTGCTTCGAGCGCTTCGAGCTTCGACGACGCGGTGCGGAGCGTTGCGGTTCCAGCGGCAAGCCTTTGGCGGGCTTCGCGCTTCGGCGTGGCGGTGGGCTACTGCAGCGTCCGTGTCCGTGCCTCGGCGCTGGCAACTCGCGACTGATGGGGCGGCCTGCGGGCCTGGCCTGATGGGGACGCTCGCCTCGCCCGCCTCGCGCGCGGACGCCGGCTCTAGACCCGCCCTGCGCAGCGCCACCCGCCCTTGGGGCCTTGGGCTTCCCTGCGTGGCCAGCGGCGACAGCGACACAGCCCCTCCCTCCCCTCGAGACTGCCAGTCATTAAACGCACCGGCACCGCTAAGTACGGGAAAATGCACGAAGCAATATCATTGGGCCCTTTTAACGGCAATGTGCACGTGCGAACAAGGAGACGCCCCCCCCTCCAAAAAAAGGATGAAAACTCAAAATAATTTCTTTGAGTTTCAACATGAAAAACACCTGTAGACAAGACGAAGACGTGACTATGGGCTGAATCGGTTTTGGGAGGTTGAAGGGAAGTCAAGGACAACAAAATGGATTTCCAACAAGAGTTTATTCCTTACAACGGCCACGGTGGTTTCCATAAAAATATCTTCGGGACTTACAGTTTCAGATTAGGACACTGCAAATTTTGGCTCTCAACTATGTAAAAAAGAGGAAAAATATAGCCTTTGCACTTTTTCCATGGAGCCTGTTTAATTTTCAGTTTAAAAATATATAAATATGGCAGAAGTTTCGTCCCCCTGTGCTTTGAGGTTCAAACCATTTAGAAATGAGATTGGAAACAAAAAGAAAAACACAATAACCAAACCATATCTACTCATCGATGCCATTGAATTTTACATTTATTATGAAAGACAGAGACAGGACATCACATTGCTGTATAAATACCTCAATAATTAAAAAAAATAATGTTAGAAGCTCTGATTTTGTCTCTATATTAAAAACTCACTTTATCAAAATGTGCTCGTAAAGATTGGGTCACAGAATACATGACAAAATCAAATTCTTCTTCAAGCGGAATGCTACACCTCTTGAAAACTAGAAACATGACAATAGAATTAAAATCACAAAAGATAGTTTACTTTACTTGAAACAAATCTCGAATAGTTTGTATTTTTGCATAGATCATGCATGCATAAGAGAAAGCCACAGGATATTCTCAGATCCATACAAAGGAACAACATGTTCACCATCATTTTTCGCATTTTAGAATGTCCACTTAGATAAAAACAGATAGGCTGATTACAGCTTTTGAATAAAACGACAAGTGCACAAACTTGTCAACATTACCCAAGGCACAATACATGGTTCGTAAAATGAAGTTGACAACAGTATGGACTGAAGGCACAACTATACTACCTAGATAAGGTAACCTTTCTCATTTGATCTACTTCTTCATGAAAGCTTTTGTAATTGTTAGTTTCCATGTAAGGTAGTATTTTGCATACTATGCTAGTACCAAGAAAGGGGCTTAAGTTAATTCCACTTAGAATAGTTGGCAGGCACCAACCATGGAGAAAGGTAACTAAGCTAAATTTTACATTTTCGAAAAGTAACTTCATGTGCATTTACTTAATAAAGGTCCTAAACAGAAAAGGAGTCCATGCAAACTTGCAAAAATTTGAAAGTTTATGGAAACAAGTTTATGGGGCCAACTTTACACACATGAAAGGAGATAAAATATGTGTGAATGTTACAGTAACCATTCTGAAGTACTATAATAAAAGGAAAATAAGTTACACATTTTTATTAGGAACCAGGATACAAACTATTTTCAGATCACATCAAAATCACGAACAATTCGAGTTAAAATTATTCGCAGCTTAACACTATTACATGTCATGGCTGGAAGATATTTCATAGAGGCCTTATGCAAAACGATTGCAAGTAATATCATACAACCATTCAAATCATGGTTATTTTAAGAGATGCCTTTGTTCTGCATAATCACACACACTGACACAGGAACACAAGAAAACTCTAACAGAAACAAATGCTCACAGGTAGTCACTTATACACTTACACTCACATTCAACATCACACACACATTCTGTATTTTGAAAAATGCACTTCGCTGCATTTTATCATCAAACAGTCCACACTCAAAAAAAAAAAAAAAAAAAAAAAAAAAAGAAATTAAATTACAACACAATAATTTAGTTGATGTGATTTTTGAATAAAGAACTTCCTTTTTCATGTCTTACCATAAAAGGCTTGCACAAACCAACACATAGTACATTATGGTCATTACAGTGATTGACAAAACATAGCCAAAACTGGGTGGTAAGTTAAATTGATTATTGCCATCAAAGCTTTAACTCTCTTGACGATTGCATTCTGGGATACAAAACAAGGGAAGTTGCACTGAATTAATTTTAAGGGAAAGAAACAGGCTACAAAGTTTGGAAAATTAAGGACAACAGGCCTGCTGCTTCCCTTATCCTGTTCTTTCTGAACTTACAACTACTTTTTGGCACGTCTTTGGTACACAATGGAAATTGATGTTATTTCCCAAATGAATGAGCAAGTCCTTAGTTCAAAAATCAAGCATATTACTTTAAGTCAAAATAACATTCAGCAAAGTGAGGAGTTGGAAAAGAAATGAGGAACATGCTCTTCATCTTGTACCACATTTGAGCCCTTCTACAGTTTGAAACATAGCAGAAGACTATCAAATGGTTGGCTATGTAACTACTGTACGCCAAGCATCCAAGCATGTGACAGTCTTAAATGCCTGTTTATTAAAAAACAAATTGACGGTTTATGATCTTCCACAGCCATTCCATCTTGCATATCAAGGCACCAAACCCTTTAGATATTTTTTTCTTTTATCTACAAGGGTATGAAAATTACATTAGTATTTGAAACATTAGCTTAATAACCCAAGATGAAGGAAGCCAAATCTTACCAAGATGCCTCAAACAAGATTAGTCGCCAACATCTAAGTCTCCGTCTCCAACCAGATACAGAAACTGGAAAGCAACCGCCAGCAAGCTGATTCCCAGAAGATCTCCCATGGAAGTGAGGTAGGGGATGGCAGAGTTGTCAGGATCAATTCCCCTTTTCCACATCCAGTGGATAATAATGTAAGCCAAGTACAGTAGAACAGCAACCTGGAGAAAATTAATGCAATCAATATGGGAAAATGGACGGATGGCTTAAGTCCTTACATTACAAGGAGGCAAAGTGGAACTTACTTGCATGACAGCAACACATAAGTAAATAACTACAAACATGGGAGTCATAGAGGTGTGACCAGCTTTCATATATTTAATAGTGTAGATGAAAATGAGGTGACCCGGGACAACCATACTCATGAGGACTCGCGTTGTTCTTGAATGAGTACCTGAAAAATCACATAGCAATTGGTAAAATATCTTAATGACAAACCCTGATAGGATAGCGACTCGATGACAAAAAAATCAAAACAAAAAAGAAAAATAAGGCATTGTTTCTTTCTTAATCTGACAAAATTACATCTACTTGACAATTTTCAATCCTTTTCTTTTTAAGTTTTAGATTTGCTGAAATTTAGACATTTGCCCTGAAAATGAATCATGCTCCTTAACTTTGTACACTGGTAATAATTTTTATCACCATTCAGTATCAAATTACAAGCATACCAACAACTATGAATAGCATCAAACTACTGCATTACTGAATATTATTCAAATTACGCTCCTCCACCTGTTCCTAACAACACTCTTCTGCTACCTATTAAACCACACCTCAAGTCGCAGCTACTACCCAGGTAAAGCTTTTGGTGAGCAATATAAGATTGCACCACAATCTACCAACACAATTGTTTGATTCTACTCAGGCTGATTACCTTTCATCTTTCTCTCTTCTTCAATGTTAGCTAGAAAATTAGTTATTGGAAAATTAATAAAGTAAAGAAGTACTACGCCTTTTTAAGTTGTTTAAGAAATAATCCTAAAGGCATAAAAGCCAGCATTAACTTGATAAAGAGATTATTGTTTTAAGGTTTTGCTTGTACCTTTGCCAAAGAACCCAGCCACCGGTGTGATGAAGATTGGATCCCTATGCGTGTCCAGGTCTCCAACAGGGCCATGACGATGCAAAGAAGTTGAAATTCGGCTGGCTTGAACTGCAACTAAGTTGCCTCCCACGCCATTGATGACTGGTTGAAAAACTGCGATGCCCTCAAATCTTGAGACCATATAATCCAATATGAGACCTCCAACACTGAAACAAAGAATGAAAGATAAGAAACACTGTCATCTCAGATAATTAAATTTCCAATAGAAAACAGAACTATCTTGTTACCTGCTGATCATCATTGCCAAAACAACTGGAGTCCATCCAGTGTAAAGCACTTCTCGTGTTTGTTTATTTTTTTGAGCGATGTAAACCCAAAGGGGTACAAGTGTTATATAAGTCATGATTATTAGAGGTGCCACCCAATCTTGCTTTCCTGCACCAAAAAAAAAAGAGAACGACATTAACATAGTTCTTTGCTTTCTTTTTGTTACTATGTTTCAGAAAATTGAAATTGTTCCAAAATTAACCTACCAATACAATAGTATAACTCTGTCGATACATAGGAGAGAAGAGATAGAGAAGTTATGTCTCCAAGACTTGCTGCGATTGGTGTTGCCACATTGTCAGGATTTATATTGCAATGTCTTGAAAATACGATGACAGCAGCAGTTATAAGACCTAGGAAAAAAGGAACAATTTTATTCTTCAAATAATACTAAACGTAGGTATAGACAAAGAACCCAGTAGTTTTATTGGAAAATTACCTAGTACAAAGCTGGCGATAGATGCGGTGACAAGACTTGAGGCGCACAACAGGAGAGCATGGTCCAGCTCCACTGAGTGTGATTTGAGTCCACCCATTACTATTGCCACAACGGATCCAAGAAAACCCACAACTGTGGCCTGGCACTAAAATTTCAAAGATTTTTAACATGAAGTTGAAAAAATGATTGTAAAACAGACACTGTACTGTAAGTAAGTTCCATGTAGCTTACCTGGATGAGGGTGAGGTTCGATACAATCATACTCCATTGTTGTCGTGATGTGTCCATATGACCCAAGTTGGCTTGAGTTGAGAGGCGTGATGCCAGAGTCATTTCTAAGTTACCTTTGAGACCCAGCAATGCGGGCACCAGTATAACAATTTCTGTTATTTCCTCAAACACACCCCAGTGCTAGAATCAGAGACATACATGTAAGATTAAAATTTTTAATGATGATGATATAAGAGCAAATAGTTTTGACAAGTTTGCTGAAGGAACAGGGGTCTGAAAACTTGCCTGAACAGCATCAAGAACCAGGCCAGCTCCAACCATACCAAATCCCGCAATGAGGAATGGTATGAAAACTTGGATTGCAATGCTGAAGTATGTTTCCATGTTAGGAGGATCTTGAAGTGGGATGGGACCATCATGGACAATGCCATTCCCTGGTAGTATCTTTGTTTCCACCACCACATCTGGTAGTCGTTTCCCGCCTCCCTCCGAGTCAGCGACCCCCTCCAGGGCATCGACTAATGTCAGCTCTACAGACTCGTCTCCCCCCGCCATTGTTGAACCCAGTTGTGAGTAACGGCCCTTTAAGGCAGCTGGACCATGACCTCCTGTGCACACCCTGAAACAAATAAAAAGAGTGTCTAAAATTTGAAAGAAGAAATCTAGAAAATATGGTCAAGTTTGGTGGGTGACCGATCATCAACCTGATAATCTATTTGACAAGGGAAAACCTAACGACAGGGATAATCCTGATTGACCGATGGAAACAACAACACCAACGTAGCAATAATAGCTGGTGTATTCACCTGACAAGGGATAGATGCCATAACCTGAAGTTAACTCAAAGCACGCAACCCTCTGAGAAGCATTTCCAGTGTTTGGCCCCAGGACAGTTCAACACAGTCCAAGCCACCAAGTGAGATGACAACACACAAGAAGCCAAGGCTTCTGCCAGTTTGGTACAGTGATTACATAACCCGGCCAGGACTTTGCCATACTGAGGCCCAGACTTGTGTTGTGGCTCTGCCACCAAAGGACACTTGAAACTGCAGCTTATCTGCAGCAGGATGCGGCCAAAATTAACGTGCAACGCCGATCGTCTCGAGAGGGTGACGCAACTTGTGTCACCCAATAGAGAGAGATAAGGACGAGGAAACATGGACTGCAGTGCAGTGCGAATCGCCATGTGAGGGCGAGGGCGAGGGCGAGGGCGAGGGCTTGGACGGGGTGCGTCCTGAGTCCTGCGTCCCCAATACGCTTCGATCCGCTCCGCTCCGCTCCGGTGTGGCGGCTCACGCCTCACGCCGTGCGTGGCCGAGCCGCGCCGTCAAGCCCTGCCGCTGCCCCTGCCCGTGCCCCTCGGCCACGGCCCTAGGCAACCCGCACGCGTGTCAGCCGGGCCGGCTGCCTACTGCCTGCCCCTTGCACAGTGCATCGGCCGTCCGGCGGCTCCGCGAGGGTGGGTAGGGTCCAGCCGTCCAGCCTAGCGACCCAAGAGGGGCCCCAGACTCCGGGCCGGCCAGGGCTAGCCAGGACCAGCCAGGACGTGTCGACCCCGCCAACCCTTCGGGGCCCGGGGAGGTCACTGTCCGGGGGCAGCGCGTGTCGGACACGCGTGCAGCCTGCGCTTGCACACGCGAGGAGGCACGACGGGGTGCTGGACGAGGCCCTGGTCGAGGTCCTGGACGGCCAGGGCCGCGGCGCGCGGCAAGGCCAGCACGGCCGGCCCAGCCCTTTGTGCTGCAGGCGATGCACATCCCCTTTGTGTCTGACACCGCACGGCGCGCCACGGCGGTCGGCGGGGCGCTGCACTGCACCATGGCTGCACCACTGCAGGCACTGCAGCTGCGGAGAGGTTAGGGGTGCGGGGCCCCGACGGCCTCCACCGCGATCACACGCTTTGCCAGTTTTCCGCGCGACGACGGCACGGAAAACGACACCGCAGCAACTACAAGTGGGTCACACACGACACGGCACGGAGATTGCAAGGGAAACTCACTCAAGGAATGACCAGAATAGCGCATTCCGGGTACGCTCCTACGCGTTGACGGTTACATTTCTGACTGAATGAATGGACGGCGACGGCGGCACGGCGCGGCTGCGCGGCTCGGCTCCGTGTCCAGGCGGGGCGCCGAGCTGCGGGAGCGAGAGAGAGCGATGCGGCGGGAAGGTTCGATTCGTCCCGCCCTCTCACTCGCACCCTGTCGCCGCACCCCTCTCCGCCACCCCCTCACCCCGTCGCGGCACCCCGTCCCCACCCCCTCCCTCGGTAGTTCTACCGGCCCGCCGGGAAGGTGGCGCCACCGCGCAGCTCGCGCAGCACTCTCGGGACGCCGTTCTCGTCGCCTCGCCGCCGAAGACGAAACCGAACACTTCGGATTTGCTTCGGGTCCTCGGTTCGCGGTGGCTCGGATTATCCTTGGTCCCCCCCCCCCCCCTAGCCGAGTGTGTCGCGCGTCGCTTGGTGCTTTTGAACGGGACCGCGTGGTTCCCTTTTCTTCCCTTCAATGATTTCCGTGTCATTGACATTGGCCGCCAGCGGACTGATTCCGCGGCAGGCTTCTCTCTCTCTCTCTCGCACTCATGAGGCGTCCCGCACAGGTGCGAGAGAGACAGACGGAATCTCTCTGCAGGCAGGCAAGTGCTAAAAACAGCGTGACTGCAGCGTCTAGGCTGTCTGGGACCATGGCGAGGAGCAACTGTGCCAGGCGGGGACTGTTACCTCGCCTCTAGGGACCACCGCCAGGCCACCGCCAGGAGAAGCGAACCTGAAATATGCATCCTTGTGCCCTTGCTGGAGTATCCCGGAAGGAAGACTAGGGAGGTCTCTGTGAGATGTGGCCAATAACGAACTTCTGAGATGGTGCTCTATATGGTGTTCGGAAATTATTGTACAGAGGCCTGTAGGCAAATGAATGGCTGAAGTCTCCAGAAAGTCTCCGAAGTTGAAGTAGCCATTCCAGCCAGCGTCCGACACTTTCGTGACAGTTGTAAAGGCTTATAGCTCGGGAGGGGGAAACTCAGTGGCAGAAATAGACTCACGTGGAGTCTGCACTGGAATGGAATAGTCATTTTTGCAGTGACGTGTATGTTAGATTTCATTTATGGAGACTTTATCGAAACAAACTGAAAGCAAGCGGCCGTCCGCAAGGTAAGTGACGCTCTGAAAGTGACGGGGCACCAGGCCGCTCCACTGCTACACGAAGTAAAACAAGCCTAATAGCCGGCAGGCAGGTCGATGGATTCCTGGCATGAGTGACCTGGAATCCTAGCGCACGTGTCACCTGCGCCAACCTGCGCCTCGCTCCGTCACTCTCTCACTCGCGGGGCGTTGGGGCGTTCCGTTGGGCTGCGAGAGAGACGGGGGAGGCGCCGCTCGGAGTCGTCCTGTCGCGAGCCCGCGCCTCGGGCTGCGTCCGGAACGTTCTCTCCATACGCCACGCCGTGCCCATCCCAGCCAATCTCAAGACTGCTTCCGAGAGTCGTTTTCGTCGCGCTGTCTCTCTCGCACTCGTGGGGCGTCCCGCAGGGGTGCGAGAGAGACAGCGCGACGAAAAAGACTCTCGGAAGCAGCATGCTGAGTGAAACGGGCGGACAAGGGACGGACGGACGCGACATGCAAAATCGATACGGGTGTCTTGGCTTGGAGCCCGCCACTCGGCCCGTACCGCCACTCGGGCCGCCACTCCGCGGACCACCACACCACCACACCGCAATGCGATGCTAAGGACACGGCCGGAGTGTGACGCAGTGTTTTGTTTTGACCCGACATCCAGGCGCGGGGAGGAAGAAAAAGTCGCCATGGAGAATCGGGGGAAGGAAGGGAAGGGAAACCGGGGGAAACCCGGCCGACCATTGTGGTCGCTCTGCGTCTCTCACACTCGCGGGGCGTCACGGGGCGCAGAGGTGAGCGAGAGAGACAGAGCGACGCACAGTGGGCCAGAAGACCGGTGGAGGCGGCCAAAACTCTAGACGCGTCTTGAGCTCCAGAGTCGCTAAATGGGACTCGAACCGAACGTGTGACGCCACCAATGGATTGCTCTCGCGGTGCTGCACTGTCTTTTGTGTATGCACCGTGGCTTACGCCGCTTCGCCGCTTCGCGCCTTCGGGGCCCGGCGGGCCGAGAAAGAATGCTCGCCATTTCCGGAACGGGGGACCAGGGGAACGAGGAGGACTCGGAGGAGGAGAAGCAAGGCGAGTGCGAGGCAGTGCGAGGCAAGGCGTCCTGGTCCAGGGGCTGCGTCCGAAACGCGCCCTAGGGCGGCGACGATGCGGCCGGCTCGCTCTCGCAATCCACCGCCAGGAACAAAACAAAAAAAAAATACACGGAGGGCAGGATTTGTAAAAAAGGAGAGAAGTAAAATGAATCGGCCATTCGCCTGGTTAAGAGGCAAGTGCACTGACTTGCCCACGGCGTGGCGTGGCGGGGCGGGGCGGGGCGGGGCGGGGCGGGGCGGGGCGGGGCGGCGGCCACAGTGGCGTGGCACACACTCGCTGAGGTCGTCGACTCGTGTGGCGTTCACGTCTCATCGTAATTGGCGCCAACTCTTCAAGGAAAGGGAAGGGGAAAAGGAACAACACTGCGATTCCTTAGTCAAGTCAAGTCGCCCCGCGGCCGCCGAACTCCGGGGCGCCTGCACTGGAGGCGGTCAGTGTGAGAATGCGATGCCTCGATCAAAGTGCAGGGCCTGCTTCGTTGGCCGGACTGGCGGGCGAGGTCCGGGGAAAATGGATTTCCAACGAGGAAACGCGGAAACCAGCGCGCTACAGCAGTCTGCCCCTGCACGAATACGCGACGGGTACCGCCATCAGGGTACCGCCGAGCCGACACAAGTAGAAAAGCAGCACCCGGCCAGAGCAGCCGGCAAGAGCGCTCTGTGTGTGTGTGTTTGTGTGTGTGTGTGTGTGTGTGTGTGTGCGTGTGTCTGGCTGGGTGGTCCCGATCTCCCCCGCCCAGCCGCCCTACGTCGCGGCGGTATAGTAGTCGCTCCCCTGTACGGCCCATAAGCTGCCCCTCCTCGCCCCCCTCCGCCACTCACACATACATTGAAGCGGTGTCCGGGACGGCAACCTGGACGGGACGGGGACGGGTCTGGAGGCTGGGTCGGGATGACGATAAGGATGCTGAACTTCGCGCGCGCGGCAGGCGCGGCCACTGGGCGAGGCGAGGCGAGGCGAGGCGGCGCGGTGCAAACAATGTCATCTCTCTCTCCCTCTGGACCTGGACCTGGTCACCAAGGCTCGCCGCTTCGCCGAGGCTGGCCTGGCGTAGCCTGGCGGCAGGATGGCCACCCTCCGCCCAGCAACAGGCCAACAGGTCGGACCGGGACGCGGTGGCGACTGCACGGACTGCAGCGCGGTGACCCGAGCGACCTGGCCCACCTGGCCGCCGCCGTCAAGTCCGTGAAGCTGAAGCAGAGGACCCCGCCTGACTCGGCCTGACTCCGAACAGTGGACCGTCGGGCCGTCTCTCTCGCACCGTGCGGAGTCAGGCTGCGGCGGCGGCGCGGCGGCGTCTGCCGCACGTGGCGACCTAGCCGTCAACGCCTCTCGTTCCACTCCGCGTCCTTGGCGCGGCCTCGGCCTCGTCCTCAGCGCCGTGCTCCGCGGCTCTGCGT